AGATTAATTCTGCTTTCATATCTGACTTTGTATAAATCTGGGAAGTCGCCCTTTCTGAAGGGAGTGCTGCCCAAATTTCTACTAATTCAGAGAGTCAGACAGACTTTGACTTTTCAGAGTTAGAGATTATTTATGCTATCATATGTCGGCTTATATAAATTATGAAAAGGCACTTTTCCTACGGGAAGCGATGCCAAAATTTTCTTAGTTTAAAGGAGATAGATTATATTTTGATAGGTGATTCAGGCGATCCACCCAGAATAGGGGAGACTTTGCAGTTGGTCTACCTTCAGCTTAAGCACTGACTTAAAAGTAGACTTAGATTTAGCTAATAAGGAAGTTTTGATTGAGGATGTATTATGGAGTTGTATTCTCCATACACTTACGATCTTAGCTTGGGGATTGGTCTGCCGTGTGTTACAGGTCCTTTTGATCATTTGATCCAAGTTCAGGACTAGATCCAGCTTGATCCCTTGAGGATCACTTACTGTTATCACTGATAACAGGTCGGTTGCCGATTCGTAGATCTACGACTCAATTTCAACTCTCCCTCCATGCTCAACCTGAAAGGCTTTAGCCCTGGTGATCTTCGTTGTTTTATTAAGGTTTTTACCCGGACTTTTATTGAATGGCCATTTAACAAAGGTGCTGAGTTTTAATTAAGGTTGGTTGGACAAGAGGTTTTGGGGCTTGCATGGCTAAAGCAAGGGGTATGAATGTCGAAGGTGGTTGGGGTTGACTCCGTGTAGTGTGTGGGCTGTTGATTTGGTTTGTTGATGTGATGACAGGTAGGTGCTGTGAATCAGATTCTGGATTTGGTTGCCTGCGATCACACGTATACGTATTATCGTGAGAGACCCCAGTGAGACCATGAAAAATTATCGTCACATATTTAACCCTTATATATGTATACATCGGTATACTTGGGATGAATGTTTGCATGGGTTGAAGAGCCCCCGCATTAGAGCCCGCTCAGAAGCTGAGACTGAGGGGCTTAGGGGAGGTCTCTCCTTTTATTCTTGTCTCTTGCTTTTTGATGATTTTCTTAGTCGGACGTTTGGTCCTGGGCCGGGATTCGAGGTCCTTGTCCAGGACATCCCAAGCCCTAGGCTCTGCAGGGGAAGGGTTTTCCCTCGCGGAGAGCCTATTTGATTTACCTACCGAGACACTCAGGTCGTGAGCCTAAGGTGCAGCAGCGGCTGCACGACTTTTCCTTGAGCCGTGCAATGTCGTGAAGGATTAGGCCCTCACGACACTTCAAGTCTGACACTTGAGTGTCATGAGCGGTACTCGAATCCATGAGGGACCGCTTGATTATGGGCACTACATAGTACGCATTCGTTGCGACTGCTTGTGTATGCCTGCATTGCAAGTCGATGTGAGTATGCCCTGCATCCGCGCGGTTTTATACTAAGTTCAGCGCGCGACGCCTATCCGATTTCCGCACTGGAAAGTTATGGGTTGGCTACCGAGGGGCTAGGAGTGTTGTCACGTTGTTGGTATTGTGTTGTTTCGTATATATGTTGTTTTGTATGTATGTGTGTTCGTAAAGTGGAGTGCGCGTGGTGTGTGGGATGCGTCCTAGTCGACTGACGATGAGTCGCGCTTGGGACCTCAGCCCCCCCAAGATGTCGGTTCGCGTGCGGGTCCGATAGAGGCGTATTACCGCGCGTACCCCCTATGCTACAGCGAACAAGAAACGCCCTCGGCTGGTCCACCTCTGCGATTGCAACTGATTAGCTTTCGTACTGTAGACTGGTAGCTCGGCGAGGATACGCCCTCCGAAGGGAGGTGACAGCTCCCGTAAGGTGTAGGTAAATCGTGCCTCGCATAGGCCCTATCCTGTCGTAGGGGCTCGCGAGAGGTATGGCTGGCGCACCCGGCCGGAGAGGCTTGTGGAAGCTCCATGTATATTGCGACGAAGGGCTCTAAAAACCAACTCCTGCGTGACGCGGCCGGGAGGGTCCCGCGCTGCCCCCGTGCAGTGCCGGAACGATGCGCCCGACAACGAGGAGGAGGAGGAGGAGGAGGAGGAGGAGGAGGAGGAGGAGGGGGAGGAGGAGGGAGAGGAGGAGGAGGAAGTGGTAACCAGCTGAATTATTATGGCAGCAATGACGATGATAGAGAGAGAGAGAGAGAGAGAGAGAGAGAGAGAGAGAAAGAGAGAGAGAGAGAGAGAGAGAAAGAAACCGAATAAACCGCCCTTATCAACGGGCAACATGAATCCGGAAGCGGGGCGACATGCACAAAGGGCAAAAAATACGGTGGTGTATCTTTCCATGTTTTGGCAGAAGATTCATTCATACGTTGGGTGGTGGAGAGCGAAAGGCCGTTGAATCAGGTAAGCACGTAACGTATCTCTTAAACCTTTTTTTTTTTTTTTTTTGAGAATCTCTGAACAAATGAGACAGAATTCTCCACTTGAACATGGAAAGATACATTGCCATATATGGGTCTCGCTGCACTACTCTTGAAAGATGCAAAACGAGAGTGAATCTTCCCCTAGAACATGGAAAGATACAGCGACATGATTTTTGTCTTTTATGCATTTCAAGAGTAGTGCAGCGAGCCCGTTGGTGAACATTAGCATTGAGGTTCTGACAGGTTGGACGTGTCGGGCTTCACTCGTGCAAAGAAATTCTGATGTTCTTCCTTTATTTTTTTATTTTTTTATTTTTTTTTTGAAAAGCTTGAACATTTATTACAAAGAAACAATGGGACGTGGTCGGGGACCACCAAGACGTTGTACCCAGAGTTATCCTGGTAGCCTCAGCTAGTTTTGCTTACGATCGCAGCTCAACAGTCCAACATTAACTATTTCAATAGAAAGAGACTACCTGCTGGAAATCGGGTCCAGCGTCCCATCCTTGAAGCTTTCCAAAAAAGTAAAACTTGAAAGCGCAATGTAAAAAGTTGAGCTATTAATGAATAAGCTCCAGTAAACTGAGTACCTGATGTGCCTGAGGCTGACCTGCAACCAACTAACACAGTTAACGAACCATCCCTCCTTCAGGCCTCGTCTAAGAAACCTCCATTCCGAACCTCAAAACCTTAGTAGTCCAGAAGGAATCCATCTTAATCAGATTAATTCCTGTTCCACCTCTCTAACCCTGCTACCACCACTAATCTGGCGCCATCCTGTCATTTGGTCTAACTACCCCTATACCTAATTCGGCACTCATAGGCGATCAGACAACATAGGTTTACGCCAGTCAGAGACCACCAACTTTCCTTCTTTTGAGACTGATGCGAACGCACTGACAGGATGTTCTTCTTTTACGTTTTTTTCTTTTTATTAAAAAAAAAATGCAGAAAAAACGGCTGGTTCCAACATTTTATACTTCAGAAGTAATAAGAAGAGAACGTTTTGAGAGATCGCGGTTGTCATCATGACTGAATCTGGCCTGCAAGAACCCTACCATACAGACTGCAATTACCGTTGAGGTTCTGACAGGTTGGACTCGTGCAA